TTATTTTCAATCAAGCCTAGGGGATAATTATTCTCAAGAAATATTATTTTAAGCCGATCCAGTTCATTTTTACAGTGCTCCCTATCGGCTTGTCTTATGCTTCAAATAATCATATAATTTAAAACCGCAACCTTTGTTTTGTAACTATGATTGGAGAAGAAGTTAAGGATGAATCCAGCATGGGTTGGCTTTCTATAGACATCCCTGCTTAACTTCTCACCTTCTCTCATCACTAAGACATCTAAAAAGGGTAAATTATTGTTCATTTCCATCTCTATTGTCAACTTAACAATACATTCAATCTGGTTAACTAAAAACAAGAAATTATCTACACTATCCTTGTCATACCGTCATATGACTAAGTAGTCATCCATATATCTAACTAGCAGTTTGGGTTCCATGAAATGTTCCTCCATTCTTGACATGTAATTATAAGCTAAAATGGAAGCCAAGCAAGATCCCATTGCTAGGTCTTGTACCTGTTCATAAACCTTATTATTTATTGGCATATATTAGTTAATAAGTTTGATAATGGACATGGCCCATGACGACGAGATTTACTTGGTGCACATGCCGCACAGCGATAAGGGAATCTGCAGCCTAAAGTTAGTTCCTTGACAATTGAGGCAACGCCTTGAGTAGCACGGATACGGTGGCAGCGATGGAGTGAAATCACTAAAACAGACAGAAAAGGGAAGGATTCTACAGAGCAAGAGAGGACTCGGATTGGACCCGAGGAGCGAGGATTGCGGATAAAGTCTCAGCCTTGGATCACCACTCGCGGCACAGTGAGGGAGTGTGAATATATTTCAAATGGGTCTGAATAAACAAGTAAGAAATGGTGATATTGAAAGGGTGCTACGAGAAGGTAGGATAAGTGAATAGCCCAGGAGGCAAGGAGAGGTACCACAACTGTTTAGCACACATTTGGTCAAAGGATCGACTTCACTTGTCTCTTACACGAGTTGTAGTATGGTGCTAAGTATGATACAGCTCACTGAAGATGCTGGCGAAGAATCTGGGAATGCAACAATTCAACGCCCCGACTCTGGAAAATATCATGTGTACAAGGAACTCCGAACTTGGCGCGTTCCTCTAGGTTTTCCTGCCAATATGACCAAGTTGTGAAAGAGAGGAAACAGCGACCATACCGAAGGCCACACCATCTTGATCTTCATACCCTCATTTAGTATTGCTTTTAAAACTAATATTATCTTTATTATGGCCTATTATTATCATATTTAATTAACTTTATAAAGTTGTGTGATGAAGTGCTTTTCCTTTATTCTCTTAGCCCAACAAAATACATACAAGCGGAGCGTTTGCTGGTCATCTGTCAGCATTTCCATATGAAATTGAAGAACGAGGCGAAATAGAAATCAAGGTAAGCTTTTGCGCTGATTTGGACAAAACTTCACATAAGTAGTGTAAATACGACCGAACGCGAAATCTCACTTGTATTTATTAGCTGTACGGTTGATAGAGACATTTTTACATAATCAAAGGGAAAACGGAGGTTAACATTATATCTGGCTTTTAAAATACAGGATCGTCATTCCTGAATAGGAACATTTTCTAGTTCTTGTGCACCAGAACAACTCGTTGGGAAGTTTGAGAATGCTAAACTAATAAAAGACTCAATTGTAGACCGTGGCATAACTCTCCATTTCGAAAGGAAAGTTGGTTGGAAGGAATTCGTGATATGGTCTCACCGGAAACGGAAGGAGGATTATGGCGTAGGAAAGACTGTTGAATTGTGCGAAGAAGTTCTCGGCTTACCGTTCTGCGACCCCGATGAAACTGTGCTAAGCTTTCGTCTGTACTCTACATGCTTGCAAATGAGTGAAGTTTACTTAATGAACCGGAAATGCGTTCGGTTGCAGCTGTTTTATCACACACAAAATAGGGTACGATCGTCTAATGCTGAATCATGTTTGTGCTTGTGTTATTGTCTATTGTGTGTATGTAATGCTCACGTCATTGGTAGTATGATAATCCTAGCTAGAATCGAGGTTAATCCAGCCTCCTTCTCTTGCGCAGTGGCTCTTCCTCCACCTCATCTTTATCCCATTCCTTAAGTCTATCCAACAGCCACAAAAATTTCCTACTTAGTTTTTTGCACTCGTTCCTTCTATTCAAGATGTTGACAATTTTGTTAATTTCTATAGACTCCCTAATCTTACACTTTGACGTGAAGTCCAAGTAACCCACAAAACATTGTGTTTTGGAATAGTCAATTGAGTGTCCTGAATTGATCATGTTTTCAGTGAGCTCAGATTTTTAGACCCACAGATCTTTCCAAGTGGTTTTGTCTTCGCATTGTCTCTTCCGAATGGAAGGCAGGTCTTCCACACATATACCTTACCACATGACCTCAAAAACTTGTGACAGCCTGTTCTATAAAGAGAGTCCGAATATTCTCTAAACGAAGCAGCTACTGAAGAAAGTGTTAGTTTCTCTTTATACTTTGTTCTTATGTTCCATTTCCTCAGTAGTTCACCCAACTTTTTCGCAAGCTGACAGGAAGGCAAAATCAGGAACCGAGTAGAATGGTCCAGCTTTCCCCCCCGCTCCTGATAGCGAACTCCCTTAATCTTGTCAACTACAATTTATATGCAATTGTCTACTAATGCTAATGGGTAATTATTTTGAAACAGTATATTCCCCAATCTACCAATCTCCTGATTCCTATGGTTTTCATCTGATAGACACTGACTCCTTATATTAGCATAGACTTCATAGTCCTATTTTTACTTTATATGTATTGTTCGAGAAGAAACTAATGAGGAAACCGGCGTGAGTGAGATTCCTATATACGTCTCCACCTAGCTCATTACCTTCTTTGCTTACTAATACATCACAAAACGACAACTTATTTTCCTTTTCTAACTCCATGGTAAACTTAGTGTTTGCATACTTTCTATTTATTAGCCTAAGGAATTCCCTCAACCTATTTTTGCCATGTTGCCAAACAGCAAAGTAATCGTCCATATAGCGAACTAATAACTTTGAAACTGGGAGTGTCTCTTGAAACACACGAACTTCTAATTGGGTCATATAGTTATTAGTTAAAATAGGGGCTAAACAAGATCCCATCTGCTCATACAGCTTACCATTGAAAGTAAAATATGTATTATCCATTGTCAAATTGACTAATCTGAGTATTGAACCTTTGCTTAACTTTTCACCTGTTATGAGTTCACGGTGTTGATCTCGAGTTAATTTTAGCCTCGTTTATCGAAAGGTTAGTGTACATAGACATTACATCGAAATTTACCAGCAAATTCCTATTATCATCAATTAACTTAATAACGTCCTATGAGTTTTTTTACTGAAATCTTCCAAGTTTCGGAGACTTGCTTTTACCGAGTACATATAAATCGTGATGTTTTATGCCTCCCGCATAACCCTAAGTGAAGTACCTTGCTTATGGAATTTTTTGAATATCATACGCATTTGGGGGTCTAGCAACTCGCGGGGAAGTGTATTCATTGCCCACTTTTCCTGCTCCCCACTGCCTAAACATTGTTTCGAAAGACCCTTAAGTATGACCTTAAGGACTTCTGTCGGGTCCCTAATTATAGTCTCACATATTGTATCATCATCTAATGCCTCTAAAATTTTTTTACATAATCCATCCTATCCGTAACTACTACTGCTCTTCCTTTGTCTGCCCTTAATACTAGTTGTTCGTTCTCCTTAAGCTTCCTTATAATAGTCTTAAATGTAAACATTCTTAAAAGATGTTTCTTTCTGATAATCTCTTAAAGGAACAACTTGCAATTCAGTGTCACTCAAAGTATCTCCTGAGAAACTATCCGTTAAACTGATCAATTCTACCAAAAGTTCCTCTTTGAAATCCTTACCATTTGGAAAGACAAAGTCTAACCTCTTTGCTAGGACCTGCTCAGTAGAAATGTCCAATGAAGTTTTGGATAGATTTACCACTTTTTGGCAATGACTTTTCTTATACTTCAAATTATTAGATGTGGGTCGTTTCTTTGAGCTAATTCTTATACCCAAGTTTATTAGTTTCTTAGCATGTGCCTTACTAACCTGTCCGAAAATCTAATCATGTAAACTATCCGCGATACTCTGAAGTTTCAGGAAGTCTTCCAAACTAAGAACATCTGTCAACATTTGCCTAAGTCTAGTCTTAGTTCTGATTGAGGAATATAACTTTGCACACGTCAAAAAAGATCAGTCTTAGTCTTACAAGGTAAATTAGGTCCAAAAATAATGCAAAATTTTGGTATAATTCCACGGGTAGAGCAAACTTTTAAAAAGCGAATGTAATTTACCTGCCTGGCCAACGACTTCTTGTTTTTTGTATAAAATGACGAATTAGAAAAAAATGAATACCCTAAGTACTTCGAGACCCAGTTTTACTTCAGCTTTAGACCGTTAAAATTGAACAACTAATGAGGAAGGTAAGCAAAGACATACCATCAAATGCAGCGGGGCTCGAGCTTGAGCCATGTCACAACTGTAGCACAGGAATAGGCCTCGATTCGAGTTTGAGGGTTTTACTAGGTTGAAACCAGGCCACTCTTTTGGTATATTGTTTGTTCAAAAGGAGACTGATTCGCCAGCCAAGACTAGGAAGTGAGTGTCATGTTGAAGATATTTCATCAACCACTTCGTGATAGAGCTTGCACATCACACTTGTATCGGATCGGCTTGTTCGGGAAGTTTTGAGGCCAGGAGGAATTCATTCACTCTAAGACAATTTCACGGCTTTGTAAAAATCTGGGGGTACAGCAAGCACTGTTGAAGACAAATAGACTTCTAAGACACTCGTCCGTGATGAGGCGAATATCACCAGAGGCCATTAAGCATGCCATCTGTGGATCCCAGATGAACTCCATTTCAGGTGTGAAAATTAGCTTGGCCCGACCAACGGCCTTACGGCAGATCTTCAACCTATTTCTGTAATAATTGTAATTCATCTCGATTCTGTCTCTCTCTGCGGCCATCTGATGTTTGCAGGACCACATAAATGCATCACCGTCATTGTTTCAAGATTCATTCCTCTACTGTTAAATACACGAGACTTAAATACACGGTACAGTAGCTCTGATAAGAATATATGTTCAGCCTAACTACAACCCTCTGCCATTTTCATCTCCTCCCGGCACTCGTGACTCTCGTCATGTATGTCATAA